CACAAATAAAATTGGTAGCAGGTAGACTTCCCGCTCATAGGGGTCCAAGTTGGCGTGCCAAGTTGTCAAAAAAGTCTGAGGTGGCGCTGACATGTGCATACTTGACGGAGGCCAACGGTGCACGTGCTACACGTGACGCTCCGGCGTTAAATTTTGCCTCATTTCCTCAAACTCGAAAATATGAAGGGCAAAAATCCATGTATTATAATATGGAGGGTAAAAACCCTCAAATTCGAAAAGTTAAGGGCCAAATGGGTACCTTTTGCCTGTCTTTAAGTGACTCAATTAATTAAAATTATAAGATTTTAAATGATAAATCTTATATTTAAAATTTTAACTTGTATTAGGAGAAATTTGAGCAAAAAAAGTTATCTCCTTTTATGTTGCTCATTATCAAAAGTATTAAAAAAAAAAAAATTTTAGCTTGGGCTATGTTAAAATAACATAAAGAATTGTTATGGCCACACAAAATACTATAATTGTGTTTAGTTTATTTGATTTTATTAGCATAGTTATTAAGGTATTTGGAAGTATTGATTTATAGATTGACAGTTAAATAATAAATATTAATTATTTTATTTGTTATAAATTAACAATTATAGTCATTAATTATTTCTTATAGTTCAACTAAATACATTTATTTTTTTAATGTTAAAAAAATACATTTATTATTTTTATATAGTTTTAATAATTTTTTATATGAATAGAGATTCATTTATATAAATTTTATACATTATACTTATATAAAATCTTAATTATATATTTTTTTACTTTTAATTATTGAAATTTATCATGACATTTTAGATAAAAAAATAATAAATATAATAAAAAATTAAATTTTTATATAAATATAATATATAAAATTTATATATAAATAAATATTTACTCTTTTTATATAAACATAACTATCACCCTCTATCCTCAAACACCTTTTAATTAAAATAATATCTAGCAAAGCTTTTCATTCAAGGAAGTAATTCAGCTCCTTATTTCAAGTTTTGGAATTTTAAACCTCGGGCCTCCCCATCCCTTCTCACATTCGCTCATTACTCTATACTTCTTCTATACTCCCTCTGTTCAAAATATAAGTTATTTAGCTTTTTTTCACTACGTAATTTTAGATAAGTTTTTTTTTAAAAATAATATATGAGTAATAATTGAATTTTTTTATATGTAATTTTTATTAAATAATTTTATTTAATAAAAAAATTTAATTTTTGTCATAAAATTACTTTTTTTAAAATAAAAGAAGTGATTTTAAAATTTAATCTGCATTAAAATGTAAAATTAATTATAAGCACCGAATGGAGGAGGGATTACCCCACATTCAGGGTGTTCTAACCAGTCCTAATCAATGATTTTAAGTTTGGACGAACTGCAAAATACTTTTAAATTCCAAATGAGACCTTCTATGGATGTTAGCCATCATTATTTTTCAACTGAAATAATCTTACATCAAAATATGATAAGAACTAAGTGTCATTTAAATACAATGAGTATTATTTCACTTGTTACTATTTAATTTTAAGTTAAGTGTGTGCCTGTTTTAATTAACCAAGTTTAATTAATTCCTTTTTTGCAGGTATTCAATGTTTTTTTATACATATTAGAAAATGATTGGTATATTATTTACCTTAATACACTTATAAATATTTGTCAGTTTAGTTATTAAAATTTATAATTAATTTTTTTTAAATTTAAATTTAAAAATAATAATTTTTAATAAATATATTGAATAAAAAATATATATTAATTATTATCCATATGTATTTTATAACATCATACAATTTTGGGGGAGAGAACTGAGACTTGAATTCTAATCATAAATCTGTAACATGCACCCTCAACCAACTCGGTTTAGAATCCAGCGGGGGCAAGTTTTTACTGCATTTTATTCTGGGTTTTTTAAATTTGTATTTTAAGACACATACTAAAGATATAATTATTTTATTTTTTAATATTAAGTAATATTAAAAAAATTAAAATTAATTTTTATTTAATAATTGTTTAATTTTATAAAAAAATAGTTGTCCAAATAAATTAATGATCTCCAAAATATTGAAATTAAAATTAATACTAATTTTTTAATTTTTAATAATAATTATAGTCAAAAAGCAAAATAACTATACCCTCGACCTTGTTTTTAAAATCCTTTTACTATTCAAACCTTGTTTATTTCTTTGACATTTTGGGATTGATGAACCTTTTGACTTTTGATATTGAAACTTGAAAGTTTAACTTTCTTAGTTAGCATGAG